TTGTTTTGTTTTGTTTTGTTTTGAGACAGGATTTCTCTGTGTAGCTCTTGCTGTCCTGGAACTCATTCTGTAGACCAGGATGGCCTTGAACTCACAGAGATCCGCCTGCCCCTGCCTTCTGAGTGCTGGGATTAAAATCATGTACCACCACTGCCCAGCTCAAGTAGGGTCTTTCACGGAAACTGAGTCTCACTGCTTTGCCTAAGTCTGGCTGGCCATTAAACTTCCTGCATCTGCCTGTCTCTACTTCCCAATTCTGGACTTAAAGGCACAGGCAGCCATGCCTGGCTTTTTATGTGGGTGCCAGGGATTCGAACTCAGGTCCTCTTGCTTGTGGAACAATTACTCTTACTCACTGAGCCATCTCCTCAGCCCTGGGGAGGGGAAGAAATACATATAATTTTTTTCTTTTATGTTGGGGCCTAAGTAAATCTCATATGTTGCAATGGATTCTGTCTCTTAATTCTCATAATCCATAGTTACTACTTCTGGTTTTGTTTTTTTTTCTTTGAAATTTGTTAAGTAAACTGGGAGGCTTATGCTGGAGACATCTGCCTTCCCATAGTGACTCATATTTTTGCTTGTTTTGGAGACAGATCTTCTACAGCCCAAGCTGGCCTCAAACTCAGTATGTAGATGAGGATGACCTCGAACCCTTTTACATTTATTAGTTATGTGTACACGGAGGAGGTAGACTCTAGGATAATCAGAGGCAATTGGCTCTGTCCTCCTATCATACAGGAAATGATATGATACCTGTATGATAGGAGGACAGGGAATTGAGCTCAGTTCGTCAGGCTTTACGGCAGGCACCCTTACTGACTAAGTCATTCTGCCAGCCCAACAACAACGAACTTCTGACCCTCTTGATCCTTTTTCTTCCTCCTCCTGAGTGCTGGGATTACAGACGTCAGCCATTGTGGCTGCTCCTGCAGGACTTGGAACTCGTGTGTGCTTGGCAAACACACCAGCAACTGAGCCACATTTCCAGCCCTTGCGTGGTCTCATGGTCCGGGGGCTGCCTGCAAGCTGGTGTTTAAAGCCAGACTAGATAAGATTTGGTTTGGCTTTGTGAGAACACTGAATTGATTTCTGCACCTCCACGTGCCGTTTGAGCGACAGCCTCAGCTGTCCCTCTTGTTGGGTGTTAGGAGTCACGGATGACATCTTTACTTAGAATTACTGTAGTTTGAGTGCCCTTTATGGGGCATGCTTGGGACCACAAGTGTTTCTAATTTCTCTTTTCTTTTTCTTTTAGATTTTAAAATAGTTGGATGTATAACATGAAATTTCTAAGAGATGAGACTCAGACCTAACTAAACACAAAATGTCTTTGTTTCCTATGTTCCTTGAGGTCATTTTAGATCACATTTTCATTGTGAGCATGGCGAGGTGTTATGTCGGCACTCAGTTTTGTATCTGGGTAACTGGGATCTTTTAGTTTAGGCATACCCAGCCCATATTGTGCCATGACGGGAAAGGAGGAATCCCCTGTCCTTTCT